GAAAGATCGATTTTGGAGCTATCTGAAAAATGTGTCTAAAAAAAGTGAAGACGAGCAGGCGAAAGTTGAAGAAGTATACCAGTTTGTAGAAAATTGTTTGCTCTACAAGATTTGATAGCTTGTCAAGTTCGAAACTATTCGAATTAATCTCTATTAATCAAAGAAAAAGCAGAAAAACCGTGACGCTGTGACAAAAAACGGTCGTAAGTGTCACTGTATCAGGGCTTTTCTTTGATTAATACAGATTAATTCGAATAGTTTCAAACTTGACAAGCTATCAAACCTTGTAGAGCAAACAATTTTCTACAAACTGGTATACTTCTTCAACTTTCGCCTGCTCGTCTTCACTTTTTTAGACACATTTTTCAGATGGCTCCAAAATCGATCTTTTGGGCTGTTTGTACAACAGCTGTAGTTTCATAATGAATCAACGTTCAGAGTCGAGATACTTTTCATTTTGTAGAGAAATGTTTAATCGACTTAATTATCTAGTTGCAATTTTAGATTAGTTTGTAGCTTTATTGCAAGAATGTTTTGAAAATGAGAAAGAAACGGAGAGCATTAGCTGGACAAGCCGGTAAAGTAAACAAGAACAACAATTCGAACTCCGCTTTTGTTCCTTGCAATCATTATTTTTTTCTAATTATGAGAGCGTTTCAGTCTATTTATACCCGGTAAGTAATCGAACGTATAAACAACTTTCACTTCTTTCATGCCAGTATCCGTTAAATCCTCATTCCATTCATACTAAAAAAGAGAAGGGCGAATTAAATATGACAGATTCATTTAGTGTTAATGTTTACTTCGGGCTCTTCTTCTGGTAATAGACAAGGAACTAAATTCATATTTTGATCGGGTACAGGAAATGTTAAATCAAATGCTTCTGTCAATTTCAACATCCATGAATGCAAATTCTCATCATAATCATGCCATATAATTGACATATCCTTGTGAAATAAACGTCCATCCTGCAATTCATTATCTATTTATGGTTAATAGAAAAAAAATTATGAATGTAAGTAGAAAACTGCTACCTTCACCGGACTATCTTTGATCGAAACAATACACGCCATAACATTGACGATCCATTGTGGATTAATGACCACAAAATGTTTTAAATATTCAGATGAAAAATATTGAACTGAACCCAGATCATGTAAAAATTGAACCGCTTGAAGTGTTTCACTAGCATCAAATATACCCGCATCACGTGCAAGATCTTCAATTGCCGAATATTCTAAAATATCCTCTTCCAAATTCGAAATCAATGATTCAAGATTTAACCATGCTAAATTTCAAACAAACGTGTACGTATGTGTATCTGTGTATAAAAGATTAATAAAAATCGTACCTGATGGAATTTGTTCACCCATGTAGGGTAATGCTAATGTTGTACTTATTAATGAGTCAATAAACTCGGGCATATTTTGATTTGTGGCCGTACTCACGTAAAAAAAATTTACAATTTGAGGATACCGACGTTTAAACTCATCTTGCCTTAAGTCAAATCGTGATACCTACGTAAGAAATATATGCAGCGGTAATAAAAGCAGCTCTCACAATATTCTTACTTGATCAGCATGTGTACCAACAACAAAGATGGGAGCATGTGGTGCATGACAACAAATTGAACTAAGCCAAAAATCTAAACCAGCATGTTCAGCACCTAGTCGAATATTCCATGCAAGAACATACACTGCTTTTTTTGCAAGAAAAAACTAAATAGACAGAACAAACATGAAGAGTAGTCAGCGAGAGAGTGTTGTCTATTAACCTGATGTGTATGATAATAGACACTTTGTCCTAAAATAGACAAACTTTAACTATCAAAACGCTTGAAACATGTGTTTTTCGCATACCAGCAAAATCCCAAACTGAAAATTCCAGTACATCTTCACTACTGTCACCTTTTACTTCCCATTTCTGAATTTCAATACCGTCTGTTACTTGTGGTGGATTTTCCGAATTATGTGACAGAAAGGACCGTACTAGACTTGTTTTACCCGCTCCACCCAATCCGACCATCATTAGTTTTGTTCGTTTACACGATACCGAACCGCTAATCAGTCGTTGAAGAAATGCCATTGTTTTTGCATGTCCACGCCGAAGAATTTCATTCGGTGGTGTTTTCAGTGAATAACATCCACTGAGATTTAATTCTTTCAATGGGAGGAGTCCTACTTGTGGACTTAATGTTTCCAATTCGATGCAGTAATTCAGATCTAATCGTTCTAAATATTTCAATGATTCTATTTCATCTGGTATACATTTGATACCTTGATAGTCGAGATTCAAGATTCGCAAATTTTTTAATTGAAATATAATTGGTGGAATACCAGATAAATTAGTTATTATTGATTCGTTATCATTTGTGACGGTAATCTGACCTTCAACAGATGCACGACCAGAATTGTCTTGAAGCTAAAATGCATTTAGTGACAGGACTTTGTCATCTCTTTTGAGAACAGATTTGCAGTCAAGCTGTGCACTCTAATCGATTTTATTCGAGATTTTGCGTGCAACATCATAAAAATAGTTTTAGGAATTTAAATTAGTAAGAAACTACAACAGAAGAAGATTTCGACATTTCTAGAAGATGTTAGGTCAAAACAGAAGTTTTGTTAAATATAATATTTCATGATAACTTTTATTATGACAGCTGTAACAATTTGTTCGTTTTTCAAAGACGTCATTCTACCAGGGTAATGTCCTGAACTGTACAGGTCTTTTGATCATAAATATTGCACAATTGGTACTGTCAACTTATGTGAGAAACAGTTTCGTTCTGGAAACATTTTGAGACGAAATATCTGAGGTTTGATAAATAATCATGTTTTAGAAAGGAGACGTTCTGAGAAGCTTGAAAATATAAGACTTGTAGAATAATCATGAAAGAAAATCACTTGAAAACTGAAACAAACCTGTTTTGTGTTCATGGATGGTCGAAATCTAGGGAGGAATTTGTATAAATGAGCATTTAATAAATTAAGCTCATCTGAATCAATCACACCATTGGCATCATTATCATAGAGATGATAGATAGACGTTAATTCATCGGAATCCATATACCATAAATAGGCAGCTTCAAACGTTTCATATTTCACCACTTCACCTTTACTTAATCCAGTAGTTGCTGACCACCATTGTGTGCCACTAGCAACGAGTTCTGTTAGTTTTTTACTTGTCGTTAAAAGTTTATCTGGTAGTGTTGATAATACACTATTGGTAAATTTGATTGATTTTAATTCAGATGAAAATTCGATGTCTGATTCAATTTCATATAATCTTCCCATTTCATTTAATTCGACTCTATTTAAATTTTTATTGGCTAAAAAGTGGCGTGGTAATGTTGATAGTGGATTTTTACTTAGAAGAATTGTTGTTAAATTTGGTAATCGACTAAAATCAATATTCAACTGTTGTAAATTATTGTTTATTAAACGTATAAAACATAAATCATTTAAATAATGTGAATATCGATTATTCAATGTTAAACGTTCAATTTTAACATTTGTTATATCAATAAAACATAATGAATTAAATCGTTCAAAAAATGCATCATCTAAAATAAGTTTACTTTGATCTTTATTTTCGTTTAATTCAAAATAAAATATTGATGAATCATATTTTTCAACTAATTCAAGACGAGTTTTAATTGGTATATCAAATGTTGTTTGTAATTGTGTTAAACGAAATAGATTACAATAATAACATTCACCTTTTGAACCAAAAAAACGACATTCTTCTATTAATACTTTTCGTGCATGTTGTAATAATGAATCAATGGATATTGATGTCATATAGTCTAATATGTTATCGTATAATTTTAAATCAGAATAACATGTATTACCAGCCGTCAAGAAACTGGGTGATAATTTAGATATAAAAAATGATGGTGAATTATAAGTCATTATTATGGCACTAAATTCAAGCCAACGACGAAGACAAAAATCATTGAATAATTTATTATTATTGGATAATGCTACTGTGATTATATTTGTCGTTGATGGTGATATTGTACGACGCTTTAAAACATAGATTTTGGAATTAATTAATCACAATATGTCGCAGACTGACTGAGTAGAACTTGTCGATACCTCATTGTTGGTACTTATTCAAAAAGTGTCGAAAGTTATGTTATAGTACCGCCTCAGTTACCGAATGTTTTGCTACTTTGTGTACTATGTTTAGAAAGAAAAAAAAATTAACCATCTCAGCCAGGCATGCATCGAATGATTGCCTAAGGATTTTGTATTTTTTAAAAATCTACCGTTTCGTAAATTATTTTGTTAGAAATTTTCTGACTAGAAAGAGTATAGAGCAAACATTTCTCTACAAAATAAGAGGTCGGACAGTTTTGCATAATTTTGTTTTGAGATTCTGACAGTGATAACTCAAGAACATAATCAGTTTTTGGAAAACCTATAGCGAGGCCTAGAAACATTTGTGCGGCACAAATGTTTCTAGGCATGCACATAGTATGTGCATGAGTATGTGCATGGCTACAGTGTATGTAGAAGAACATATTTACAAAATTTGGGCTCATTCTAAAGCTGATTAAAAGTAGTTGCCTCACTATATTGTTGATATCAGCATGGCCAGCTAACTATGCTACTGCAAGAGAATTCCGTACGTATTTCCTTCACTTTGTTGTGTCGATATATACCAAATCGAACTATGCAGAGAGTCACGAGACGTCTTAAATTGAAGTAGACATGCATCGATTAATAATCGATGTTATGGCATTCAGCAAAAAAAAAAAAAAACTACTTTTAGTTTATCTGTGACAGAAACAGAAACATCGAAAACTGAGCAAATCTGTGATGAAATAAGCGATTATCGATTATTTTTCTGCGATCTTAGTGCGTTTTCAAGTTATCATATTTCCTCTATATAACATTAAAACTTTTCTAGCACTTCAGTTTGTTAGAGCAAACATCTTTCTTCAAAATGAGACATTCAGCAGCTCTGAGTGAATTTTTTATAACTGATTCGTCACGATTTTGCTGAATGCCCTAACATCGATTAGAATTGAAGAAAAAAGCATTATAATCATTTTAACACGTATCTGCACTCGGAAAATATCTCTTTCTGAGGATCATTATAAAACGTTGAGTACTATTTTTCGATCCTCAGAAAGAAGTATTTTCTCAAATGTAGATACGTCTTAAAATGTTCACAAGGCTTTTCTCTACAATTTAGGACGTCTCGTGACTCTTTGCGCAGTTCGGTTTGGTATATATCGATACAAGAAAGTGAAGAAAAAACGTCGTTTAGATCATTCTGGCCAATGAAGAGACAAATTTAGAATTTGGCCAATGTATTGGGATATTAAAAAGTGAATATCAATGCCCTAAATTAAGGAGTACCCTAGTGGAACTTCTTGTACCCAAGATCTTAGGTTAAGAAATGTCACAAGAATCTTTATTCAAGATCTTGAGCACACCCACTCAAGATGTTGCAAGATCTTATGCGAAGAATTTTCTTCACATTTTGTTTTCATATACGGCAGTCATAGCTATCAGATATGCGACCATATAGAATCATGGACTCTTCCTTAAGCAACTATGTTCAAAGAAGGAAAAAAATTCGAGGTTATTCTGCGTGTAAATATATTAACACCTTTATTTACACAAGAGCGTAAAACCAAACGATGATTCAAGAATTTCCAAGACCTTGGGTACAAGATTCAATCACTCAAGATCTTGATACAAGAAGTCAAAAACTCCAGTGAATTGCGCTCCCATTGTACCCTCGTTAACCGATATGCGAAATTCTTATAACTTTTTTAATGCCGAAGGAATCTGGTTGAAATTTTTAGACGATACTCATCTCGACTATATTCAGTACCACTAAAAAAACGCGCTCAAAATGTCTAGCCGTTTCTGAGATATTACTGAGCGAAATCGTGAATTTGACGACACCACAAGCGACAGTAATATCACTTTTCTATTAGACAGAAAGCTGATTTAAACTTGGTTTCTGCGAGAAAATTATAGAAAACAGTTTATTCTTCTCAGTATATAACCATGAATTTCTTATGCATTCGCAGTTACGAGGCGATTGTACGTCAACAATGGCTCTACACACAGAATGACGTTTTCTCGTAAGGCGAGATTGAACGGATCAGAACTCAGTCAATTTTAGACTAAAGTTTTATTCAAAATGCTCGCAAGATAGCCATACGATAATGCTACGATTCGATTAAAAAGAAAGATTTATTTACTTCCATTTTTGCCATAGAAAAGATTAAAGCGAACTGCGCTTTTTCTGCTAACGCGAGATTTTGAAAATTGCTTTTGTTATATCTTCCAAATTACTCAACCTTTGCCCTTCATTCTTTTATCCTTTTCTTATCTTGTTATCCTAAATATGTGACAAAAATTTCACCTTCAGAAATTCGACCATTCGAGGGAAAATTGCGTTTTACTGGGAAAAAGTAACTCGACATTAACATTAGAAAATTAGGTAGTTTTGCCGCGCTGCACCAAATTAGATAAAAATTGGGCGCTAGATGCAAAAGTTTTCGATGAATCGGGTTCCTTTTAATTCTATTTTGACTTCTTTTCTGGCGTCGACATAATCTACGTGATTTTTGCCTAAATTTTATTTTTCTCATTAGCGCCTTTTTTTCAACCAATGAGAATGAAAATAAAATTTAGGCAAAAACCACGTAGGTTATGTCGATGCCAGAGAAGAAGTCAAAATAGAATTAAAAGGAACCCGCTGTCCGATTCAACGAAAAATTTTGCATCTAGCGCCCAATTTTTATCTAATTTGGTGCAGGGCGGCAAAAGTAACTAATTTTCTAATGAATAGGTATTGGATAGCGCTCTACCAAGCACAAGAGATTTCCTTTATTTAAAACTTTTTTCTCGAAATTGTTTTTTTGTCAATCGTACAATGGCAGCGCAGTTCGGTCAATTATACGACGTTCAAGATCCTGACTTCTTGAAATTTCTTGAATTTTTGTATTTTCTTAACAAGATCTTACTGGAAAAATTCAAGAAGTCAAGATCGTACTTACCAGACGTTTGACTAGGGTAGTGTTTTTAAGGATATTAAAATATCGATCGGTTCCTCCTTGCTGCGTTTCGTTCGACCGTCATCGGTTATCAGGGGCGGTCTATTCTGTGGGACGTTTGAAGCGCAATGCCTCAAACGTAAGTAAGGTGGTACATTTTTCAGGCGGTACACTGAGAGATCGAACCTTCGAGGTGGTACTAAAATGTCTCAAATTTTCAGGTGGGGATCGACGCTGCTGCCGGTTATATATGCTTCTCAAGCTTTTCTCCACTTGTTTAAAGTAGTATATGAACCTTTTCGTATTTTACAAAAAACACAGGTAAAGTACTTTTTATTAAGAGCCCCCACCTCAGAAATTGTGATTTTCTGTCAAAAAATTGGTTTTGAGATAAGCACATGGAAAGGTAGCATGAAGTGTCTACTTTCAGAATCTGTATCGCTTTTGGTTACATAATTGAGTTTTCGGGTATTTTGAGCAAGTTTTCTAGGATTTATATCTCAAGATTTTTAATTACGGTTTGTCGCACAGAGTTCATTCCTTTTTTGTTTAGAAGAGCAAAAGAAACTGCATGGACCGACAAGCGCCGATTTTTGAATTAGGTCGTAGTTTTTTGTCAAATAGAAGATTTTTAGAAAATCCGGAAGGCTTTTCGGGTTTTGGAGGTTGTAGTTGCGTACTTTCACGAATGAGGATGGGAAAAATACTTTTTACCTACAGCTGATGACAGATTTAGACCACGAGAACACTTTCGGTATCGATATCGACAATTGTCTCATACTTACTCGGCTATGAGAAAGATCCAACGCTGTTAACATTGCTAATGTGATAATTTCATCATTCAAATCTTGTTTCTCTATTCTAATACCATTGGTATCCAACAAATGACTACTAGATACAATGAGTTTATTATCAACAGGTGACATATCTTAAAGAAAACCAAAACATTTTTCTTGTATATTTTTCCATCATTTTAAGTTATTCATCCTACCTCGATGATTACATGTCATATGTAATCTTAAATCATCTTTAAATTTTTTTAGACATGGATATTTTAAAATGTTCAGACTATCAAATTGTGTTGGTAACAAAACTAAGCCACGACTTGTTGATATCGTTAATGCTATCGTTGAATCTTCTATTCGATGTTGAGTTAATAATTGATTAACTAATTCATTTTGAACATACGTGAATAATTTTTGATATTTAACTATTTTAGAGAAAGTGTAATATATTAAAATTCATTCTAACAATTGAAAATAAATATACACATACTTCGTGGATTGTGCAAATGTCGACATGATGAATTTGTAAAAACTTGTTTTGTTTCACCAAATGGGAAAAAATCAATCGGCATACCTTCATTTTGAGCCTAAATAAAGAATTATGAGAGTATTTTAACTCACAAACAATTGTTTCACTTACGTATGAAAAACATTCGTACGATACAGGTTCAGCATCAATTTCCGATAAATAATTTCGCCATGAGAAGGCTTTTGCATAGGCTGAAATAAAATATCTATTAAATTCCTGACATCATAGCAAAATAACGGGTGACCCAGAATAAATGGCACCCTCAGTATTTTGTCAATATTTCACTAAATTTTCATTGTTCAGACTTCATATTTGTTTTAAAAAGATTTTCGGTTCAATTCTCTACAAAAGTGCATAAAACGTTTCAGTGTGAGAAATGACAGTGAAAAGCTACACGCTAAACACTGTGAGGTTCCAAAAGCCAGACTTTCAAAGATTATTTCCGGTTTTCGTCGTTTTAACTCTTGAACGTGCGAGATACAAGAAAACCAACTAAGTCATTCTGTAGCCCCCAGAAGACTACCATTTTGTGACAATAAAAGCTTTTCTGAGATTAAAGCTGATTACGAAGATCTTTCTTCGGTTTTTCCAAAATTTTTTGCAACACTTTCGCCTCACTTTATTAAGCTCATGTAGCATGAATTAATTTTCTACGGTCAATTTTCATTGTTTTGGAGACGCATAGTTAGTCTATCACGTGACATGATACTCAGATATGACTCATGTTTGAGCATTGATACTGATCTAACTCTCATTTGCGCGCCAAACACAAACGTTTTGACTATTCTAGTTTATCCTCCAAGAATTATCACTATGTACGCGTCATCATCTTATTCAGGCTACATTTACTAAGCTCGACGAGAACGAACACACACTTGAGAACATGGAAAAACTTACACCAGCGCACTGAGACGCCTGACCAACCGGAAAAAAAGATAATTATCTTTTTCTCAAAAAGCCATTTGAAAATATGGCGTTTTGGAACCTCAGAGGGTTTACCATATAACTGTCATTTCTTACAGTGAAATGCAGTTTTATGGAGAATTGAACGAAAAATCTTTTCAAAACAAAGACGAGCATTGAAAATTGAGTGAAACATTGACACAACACTGAGGGTGATATTTATCCTCATTCAGGGGCAGTCGTTAAGGAGAAATCTTACACTTTGGAGGATCAAAACGACTAAACGTAAAATGTGCATGTGGTTGATTCATAACCACATTTTTATATAGCACTCGTTGTACGTATTCCCAATAGCCAGCCGGATGAAGATCGGCATTATCCATTTCAACGGTATAATCAAAATTCGAGCCCCAACCATCAAAGTTAATCGTTATACTATTATCATCGTGTACATCAGCTAAAGTAGAACAATCCATTAACTGATCGCTAATACTAATCGAGAAACGGCTCAGAAACGCACAGTGGGCATTTTTCCATAGAGCAGGTGGACATCTGGCGTTTTGAGTTAAAAAATGATTACTTTAGCATAATATTGTCTTATTACGTCTCAAATATTAAGAAAAGTAAGAAAAGTCAAATTCGGAAAAAAAATAGTTTTGATAAAAGGTTGCTGAGAAGGACCCCTTGTCCTGAATTTTTGTTTATAAAACTAACAAATTATACATTATTCAATGTAATTTTATGGACTGATTTCAAATATCGTATTAGTGTTAAATAAAAATGTTTCTGAGGTGAGAAAATCAGATTTTACCTAAAAAACCAAGGGAGCTCTGGAAATTCTGTGCCTCACGCCAGCTCAGAAGAAAAATCGCATTCAGCATAAATACAGCTTTTGATCAGGAGCATTTAGTATAGTTTTTAATTAAATCAGACATGTGGAACTTCTCGCGTTTTCATTACATGGTAGAGGTGTTTCCAGAGACTGATTTATTTTAGAAAAGTGATTTTTTTCTTGTACACTTCTAACGAGGAAAGGCCGCCAACTGCCACCTTGCTTTTTAGCTCTACGCTAGTGCGTAATAGGTAAAAAAATGTGCTGAATTCGACTATGACAATGATTTGGGCCGCTAGGTCTCCAGAGACTGGATTTCTAGAAAACCAGTTTTCCAGAAACTCCAAAAACTCTCCAAAACTTTTCTTAATAAGTCATAATTGTAGCACGCGAAATTTTGATCAAAATGAGACATTGCTCAGCTCTGCATGACATTTCTTTGCAAAGTTATGGAATTTACAAGAAAAGCCCACATGTTCATTGTCAGCTCAAAGCTACAAATATAAGAAGGAAANTTGTAAATTCCATAACTTTGCAAAGAAATGTCATGTAGAGCTGGGCAATGTCTCATTTTGATCAGAATTTCGCGTGCTACAATTTTAACTTATTAAGAAAAGTTTTGGAGAGTTTTTAGAGTTTCTGGAAAACTGGTTTTCTAGAAATCCAGTCTTTGGAGGCCTAGCGGCCCAAACCATTGTCATATTCGGATTCAGCACACTTTTTTACCTATTATCCACTAGCTTAGAGCTAAAAAGCGGGGTGGCATTTGGTGACCTTCCCTCGTAAGTCAAAGCAAAGTGTGTTTCTAGTAATAAAAAGCTTGAAGTCTCTCGATTCAAATTATGTAATTTCGATAGAAAAAGCGGCTTTTCTCTAATGGTGATATATTATATAATGTATTTTTCACATTTAAAATTTGGAATAAAAATTCTTACACTTTTAGATAGCCCAAGTATATTTTACAATATTCGAATCTTGAAAAAGCGTACTTTCGATTTTTGGCTAAATGTCCATCCACTGTGAAAGGCCTTCTTTACAGCGTCATTAATTGACTTATTTTACTTACAGGTTGAAATTTACTTTTATTGCGGTTGAAAGTCGTTTTTATGATTCTTTCTTTAGATTGGATAGTAGTTCAAAACTTACTGATATTTGCTATAGCTAATATAAACGGATTCTTTCGATCTTTTGCTTCCAAACGCATGCCTATTTTGAATCCCTTTGTTGACACTACCTTGTCGAAGTCTTGTCTCACTTCTAAATCCTAATTTTGAACGAAAAGAACGATACTTAAATTAGTATGTCTGTGTGGTGTATGATTTCGTGTTACCAACGATGTTCTTGGATAATGAATAGCAATTGAAAATTGTTTCACACTTGTACTTTCGAATGTCACATAGCTAAAATATGGTTGAAATATTGATTTCGTTGACTTCTTTTTATATGTTTGACGTGACCATGGCAAGTTATTGATGTAGAATATGAACTCAAATACATTCTAAATTGTTCAAAAAAAAGCATTTATACATATCGGCAGTCTACTGCTTACTTTACAAAACTTACGACAGTTTGAGTTAAAATCATTTCAATTCGAAGTTTTAATCCATGATAAATTCCCCCGTCGTAGGTGCTACCCGATTTTTCCATTTTGTTTTGCTGCCATTTTGTCTTCTGGACAAAACCAGCAGCATTTTTTATTTGATTCAAAAGTTTGGTATGAGCATCCTGGAATGTTATTTTTATTTCTGATAAGATACAAATAGAAGACCACTACTAGCTATTTTATCTAGAGATCCTCTCCACGATTTTTGGCCAAAAATCGAAGACCATAATGGTCTTCTATTATAGAAGAAGATTAATGCGCAATTGACGCAGAAGTGAAAAAGCAGACTTAAGTCTCAATCGGAGATGGACAAGTCCAGGTCCGGATTGAGACTGAAACGTACGAGACTGGGACTGAAAAAATACTGGACTTGTCCATCTCTGGTCCCGACTAGAAAATGTCAAAGTTCATCTAAATGCACATACGTTGCTAGAAGTCCAGGGACTCTTATGGACCTACATAGACTTACATCAACTACCAGAGACTTGCTTAGACATTTTTTATCCATAAAGTGGACTTTCGTGAGCTTTTTGTGATGTTCGAAGACTTTAATAGACTTGTAAGATCTATCTAAGCCAACGTAAATCCATTAAAATTCCTAAAAGTCGAAAGTCTGCCTTGCCCTCTCGAGTTGGTTCTAATTTACTAAAGACGATAATTGACGCTAGCTTAAGTCAACTTCAAAATTCCATGTCGATCTTTGAAAGATACGACTGTTACTATGCCGAAAATTTATTAACAATCTGTAATTCTAAAATGTGGATATAGCATAAAATGAATATATCCACACAGTTACCCTTCGGTCAATCACAATTGGTGTTCTACTAGTTTTTTTCACTACTGAGTTCCTCTCGCGATCGATTCTGGCTCTCCAAGAAAAAAATTTGCGTTCGATAAAGATATTAGATGAACGTATCAAATTTGTTCATCCGAGGCTGGGCTTTTGTATAAAATAGCTGTATTTCTCGAAAGAAGGAAATGCGTACTGTGAAGAAAACAATTAAACTGGCTCAAGTAGATATAAGAGAGGTGTTCACGAAAACAACTCTATTGTATGTTTTGACAAAAACGTTTTCGGACTTCCTCATGTACTTTCCAGAAAAAATGCAAGGGCTCAACATTTTTTTGTCAGACACAGACGCCGTCATTCGAAATAGCTCATTGAATAGACCAAAACTACGAGAAAGCTTTTTTACGTCTAATGCCCCAGAGCTATTAAAAGTTGCAAGTAGCCCATCAATATAATTTAGAAAGAAGCGTAAGCGCGCGTGTGTAGCGCAAGACTGTTGAGTCATTTTCCATGGAGTTAAAAAGGAATCGGCAGAACTTGTTGAAATGAATGTTTTGTGTTTGGTCAAAAATGCTTTTCAGATATCAGACGTAAGAATCAGCAAATGCTGTTTTAATCGGAAATTTTTATGATTGTTTCAGAAATAAATTGTTCAGAGCTAATGAGCGGAGAATAAGCTTCTTTAAGATTTGCTGTTATCGTGATGAAAAACGGTTCATAAACGTAAACGCTCAGAGAACAACGAAAAAGCAGAAAATTCTTTATAAAAAAGAAATCAAGGTCCCGAGATAATCTCCCGAAGTGATAAATCGCTTTTTTAGCCCTTCGAAGATCCGATCTTCTGGAAAATCAGTTTTTCAGAAACTCTATAAAATAACCCAAACCTTTCTTAACAATGCAGGATTGTAGCCTGCAAATTTCTGATGAAAATGAGACATCTCCCAGTTCTAGAAGATCTTTCTTTGCAAAGTTAAAGAATTTATTAGAAAACCTTAAATTATTCATTGTTAGCTCAAAGCTACAGAAATAATTAATTCAGGGCTTTTCTTATAAATTCTTTAACTTTGCTAAGAAAGATCGTCTAGAGCAGGGAGATGTTTGATTTTCATCAGAAATTTGCGGGCTACAATCCTGCATTGTTAAGAAAGGTTTGGGTTATTTTATAGAGTTTCTGAAAAACTGATTTTCCAGAAGATCGGATCTTCGAAGGGCTATAGGGAATCCCTATGGTCATACTCGGAATCAGCATGGTTGATAACATATAACTTACTAGATTTCGATCAAAAAGCGATTTATCACTTCGGGAGATTATCTCGGGACCTTGATTTCTTTTTTATAAAGAATTTTCTGCTTTTTGAGCTTATTATAAAAGAAATATTTTTTCCACAAAATTCTAGTCAACACAAGCATTTTACTCCAAGTTTATGAGATGAGCTTTTTGGAAATCTTTTCGAAAAATTGCTATGAGCAATTGGTTCCAGTGTAAAAAGCCACCTGTCTGTGCCGTTTTTCATGCTCCCTCGAGTGACATTTTTGAAGCTGATATTTCAACTTCGTCATCATTTTTTTGTCGCATTAAATGTGAAAGCTTAAAATTCAAAACACTCTATATAACCATATAGAGAAATGCTTCCTCTTTCATGTTTCATGTTCTTTCAATGTTTCCTCCTCACGTCATACCAAAGAGAAAATCCATCAGAATTGGAAAATACCAAAAAGCTCCGTGCTATACTTTTCAGAACGCTAAACACGATTTTTCCGAAATGAATACTCGATGTGCGAAGCCAAAGTACAAGGCTTTGATATTCTGTTTTGGGATGGGGGTAGGAAGAGAAATGTTTTCGGGAGGCTCACTCTCGCGTGTAAAGAAAGACGCTCACACTCTTTCAATATAAAGAGACCGAGGAAATGCTATTTTGTCGTTCACGTTCACGCTGTGCCAACATCTCGCACCCTGTACTATGTTCAAAAGGTCAAACAGTCTAATAATTTTAATAATAGTCTAAGAATCTAAATATTTAACTTTTCCATTACTTGTTTGAGAAGACTAATGATTTTTTCGACGTAATCCCCAATCAGAGTGGGCAATTGTGTTGTATCATGCGCATATTTTGTTTTTCTTATTAAAATCGATTATTTTACTCTTTATATCTCAAAAAGTCTATCTGAAAATACAACAAGATTACCACTAGTTCTCTTCTAAATTTACGCATCGCTGCCCTCTGTATTTATCTTATAAAAATCGATAAAACGGATTCATTCAACTCTCTATCAATTATCTTAAATCTTTTCTACACAGTCTGACAACTGTATACCATTTATCTATGATATTCTATTCAGAAAAACTTCATTCAATTTTAATTTGAGTTTCAGTCTGCTTAAACATCCCGCTTACGATATTCTCTGATTGTTGTTCATGTTGATTGCCGAATCGTTTAGTTCGGTTATTATCCATTTGCTCACCTCCATAGATAAATGATATTTTTTCATCTAATTCTATGCCAAAATTTTTTCTGAAAAAAAGTTTATAATTGCACCAAAACCTGTGTATACTTATTTATACGTACACGCTACACCCTATTTGAATATTTGTATTTAAAACTTCATGCTCATCTTTGCCACCTAATATTGTTAATTCAAATGCATTACATCCATCAGGACGCAATGATGATCGTGAGCAATATTCAATTTGTTTGTCAGTTATGTACAATTTCATTATCATATTAGTTTCACTTATCGAACCATCACCACGTTTGTCAGGATTAACAAAATCTAATTTCGTTAACGGTGCTAATGTTGAACATGCATCCTAACATATAGCGATGAATTGAATAAATATTTTTACAGTATTTGTCAGCATACATACATAGAGTGATTTAGAAGCTGATGGTGTTAATCCACACAATGAACATATACCAGTAATTTGTGATGAATTAAAATAATGATAGAGAGAAATATTTGACCATTGATGAAAAGTTGATTCTTCATCTAAATAAATAAACGAATAAATGCTAGAAGGACCCCAAAGAGTGAGACATACTTTTAAAATTCTCATTTTCTAACACGATCTAAACAAATATTAGAATAAAACAATTAAAAATATACACAAGATCTATAACGAACTGTAAATGCATAATCAAGTTTTAACAGTAGGGTCCAAATTAAAATATAATATTCTCGCGATATATAATTTAACATTTCTTCATTTAATTGTGAAGCTACTGAATTGGTCGATACACCATCATCACCACGATAGAGATCTATGGTGCGACATTGAAGAAGTAACCGTTTGGACGTTTGTAATCGAATTAATATTTCAATTGCACCATCTAAAAAAATAAAAGAATTATCTTACTTTTTTTTAATTACATGGAAAATATAGCGAAAAAACTACTACCTTGTATGAGTAAAAGGTTTGTCGATGCTAATAATAGTTTTTGACATGGTAAACTATTATAAAGTATAAATAATATAGATTCATCGCACGGTTGAATCAGATCGAAAATGATCACTGATTCTAATTCATTATTCCAATTGGTTGACCAAACAGTGTCCTGAAATAATAAGTTTAATATTCTCAAATACAATTTATTGGATATTGATTGTATTCGTGAATGTCGAACAAACTTTAGAACAAAACAAAAGTCAATAAGTTTTAATAGGTAGTAAATAATGGCGAATGAGAGAATTTGATTTTGTTTACAGAACGTGAGACCCGATCTTTTTTTGTATTAGAATCAATAATAATTATCGATATATACATAAGCGAACAGCAACATAATATTTAATAAAATCGTCTGTCGAGCGACAGTTCGAGAGCCAAAGAATTAAAAGTAAAAGCCATAAACCTACGTTCATATCCAGTACAACGATTTTGGTAATTTTCAGTTTATAGTGGCTTAGACTTAAACAAAACTCACCATTTGTTTCATCGTTTCTGCACGAGATAAGTTATGTTTTTGTTTCCAGAATCCTACGCCAAAAAAGTGACAGATCTAACTGTATTAACTGAGCAAAAACATCTAAGTTTTCTGTTGGAAAAAAGAAAAAAAATATGAAGGTTTAAAGAAATAGACCTTGAATTTTACTAAAACAGGCTGATATGCTTTGTCTCCAACATTTCAGCTGAGGATGATCATCCAGAGAAAATTTCCTTGCTGCTAAATGTATTCATATTTAGCTAATAGATAATTCCGTCCCTTTCGAATCAAAACTTTATTCTTATAAACAGAGCTCTTTTTTTCTGTATATTTCTTATGACGAGGATGTAGAATAATGTAAAGACCGTATATACTGCATAGCTTTTTTGATTTCTTCTTCGAAAATAAACGTTGTCATTAGATTCAGCGTAATCAAAATCGATTACGTATGTCTCTTGCGCTTTCAAGGTTGTTTCTAGTCGCTCCATACGAACCTCATGTCATGTCCGAATTACTGAAAACAAGGTCTCGCTTGACTCTTATGTTGAATATGACACTATGCGATCTATTTAGTTATGAAAGAGCAATATATTACTGTGTTAACGAGTTTTCCTCGAGAGTAAATGTACTTTTGATCTCCAAAAAGAGATACTTTTAATCACAAAATTTTTCAGCATATATCTCACATTAATATTTCTTCTTTTATTTTGTTTCTCTTTCAAGTAGCGAAAACCGCAAGTCTTTAGCTTCTGATACTCGCTATACTATATTCAGTGTTGTCATCCATTCGATCGAATTGATTTTTTGTTTTATTTATTCATGTATGCCATATTTAATACTTCTATAAAATTTAATGTTTTTTTCTACATATTCTATTTCTCTTATCTCTCTCCTTATGACTGTAAAAATCCGGCTAAAAACAGTTCAGTAGCAGTTGTAGTCTTCTTTGAAAAGACGTGAAATAAAGAGCAGTATACAAAATATACTTTCAGGGCCGTCCCAATTTCTCCAACTTTTGGGAGGATCAATTATAAAATGACATAACTTCGAGCAAAAAAAAACAGGTTTTGTAATACTACATTGTAGCTTGTCTTAACTTGTTAATGCTTACCAAAACTTAAATTTTCAAATATTTCTGAAAACTGGAGGGGGATTAGCCCCTCCTCCCATTCCCCTTCCGAACGGCCCTGTATGCTTTGTATCTTATACAAAGTATATTTTTATAAGACACAAGGCGCAGAGTCAAGGACTTGGAAATAGAAGTCCCCACAATCCCTATAAAGCATAACTCATTCTGCATTTTGTTTCTTATCGTTTTTATATGCATAGTGCTTTATGATTTTTCGAAAAAATGGCTTATTTTAATTAAAAATCGTTTTGACGCTTCGACAATAAATTTCATGACAAGATAATAACTGCTGAGTTAGTTCGAAAAATTTTGCTTAGCTTTCGTTTCAATAATACAAGTAACAGAAGAAAAATATTATTGTCCTATGCTTAAAGAAATATGGTGATCAAAAATATTGTTATCCTTTCTTCGAAGCTTTATCTTTAATAATAAATTTCATTTTTAAAAGAAAGTAATTAATTATTAGCTAATTATGAACATATTAATTTTACAAATTCAGCCACTATCACTCAAAGAATAATTTAGTTCCATCTTCATTCGATCGAATAGTTATTCTGTAGTAAAGTAAAGCGAAAAAATGCACACTTTTCTCTGGATATACATTCAGAGATTTTGATCTTGAAAAGATTTATCATAGGTGCACTGCAATGAAATTTGAAGTAGTGGGCAGGTGTGCACTATATGTCTATCCGTGGACATAGGCATGGTCAGAGTAAAACCAGAGAAAATGCACTGACAAAAATGTTTTTTCCCTGTTGCTTGTTCACTTGCATGATATACGCTATATGTCACAGCATTACTACACAGAGAACGCTATTTATTGGATAAACAACATACCAATGGTACTGTAAGCATTGATGGTACAGCAGTTGAAGGTACAATGATTGTTTCATTATTTGTTGTGAATGAACACATAATATTCCATGTATCAAAAACAGTTTGAAAAAATTGAATCTAAAAAAGATGAATAGAGAATTATACAATTATATTTTCAAGTTTGTACGCACATAATCTTTGCCAATTTCTTTCATAAGATCGGGATATGTTAAAAATGTAGCGTTTTGTCCAACAGCACTAAATTGTTCGACAGATAGTACAGTTTGATCATTTGTTACACGTTTATGAGCTTTCATGTTTAAGAGTGTGTTTATTGTATGACAAAACCATTCTAAATTCGAAACGTACTGATGTTGAACAAGAAGACCACCTTGCTAAAGGAAAAAAAACAGAAGAAAAGCAACTAAAAAAGCATGTTAAACATTTAGTTTTTCCCATACTGTTATGAGTTTTTGTGCTATATATGTTTGTGCAAGGTTAATATGATCGAAAGTTTTTGGTATGTTTTCGGTTAAGTGAAGTTTATCAACAATTTTTTTCACCGTATCTGTCATATCATTAATATTCTGTTTTTCCAAACACTCATCTAATTCAATTAAATTGTATGCATTATGTGCTGTTCGTGTCACATCGTCTATCAGTTGCTGTGAAAAATGATTCTAAAACATAATATAAACACTTTGTAACAAATACAGTTAGCAGAAAATTGTGAATATCGTACGTCGATATTGTCGTGATATTTAAATAGTAGACACTCTTCAATGCTTAGTTTCTTTTTCAAGATGTCACACTTTGTTTGTAAATGTAATAAATTGGTTAAATTCATTGAACGTAAAAATATTTTATGTGATTCTTTTGACCTATGAATATGTTATTATATAGATAAAACTAAACTTAAGTATTTTAACTTACGCTGTTGATAATTCTTCTTTTAATAATTGATTGTACACATTTTCAGCTGAAATTTTTATTTCGTTTAACTTCGATTGCATGGCATCAGAAAATAGTTTATGATCAAATGTGTTTTCGTCATTCACAGTAACAAATCGAAACACTTTTTTCACCTTCAATAAAAATACAATAGAGTCTTCTTCTCAATGATACCTTTACCTTTTTCCGACTAAGAAATTAAAATTGTATCGTAACTAGGGGTGGCAGTATTACTATTACTCATGTATTACATTATCAAGGAAAGTAATACTAAAAGGTATATGTTACTGTTACTGGTAACAGGAATCTTCCATGTATCCCTATTACCAGTAACAGTAATACTGGTAGTATTAGTGCTACCAGTAACTGTAATATTCATACAATTAGTATTACTTTTCAGTAAAGTAATACAAGAAAAAAACACTCAATAGTGGGCGTCACAATCAATACGAAATAATATGGTGGTTTCCTGTTGATAGTGGCGCGCCTGCTGGATTTTTTTCCTTGTATTACTTTACTGAAAAGTAATACTAATTTTATGAATATATATTTTATGAATATATATACGATATTTGTATTACTGGTAACAGTAATAGTAATGTGCCACCCCTAATCGTAACTGGTTTTGGCAAGCTTCTATACACAGAGAATCAAGGATCGTCTTCAAAATGAGAATCTCACAGCTCTAGAAAGTGTTTGACTAAGGAGTTTTAGTGATTTTCTCGAGAGTCTCGAAAACATGAGCTGTTTTGCATCACAGAATCGTTTTGTTTAGCTATAGCACTGCATAGAAGCAGCGTTTCTGTCAGAAGGACGTGATCTATAGGGTTGAAATATCGTTTCGATCTCATTAGATAGATATCTCAAAAAGTGTTAATTGGTTAAAAACCGTGAGTTTTCTGAGTATTAATTAGTATTTTAATGTCCGTGCCCGTTTTTATACTGTGGTGGTTTCTAGAAAATCAAAACTAAAAGAGATAGATGTCCTTAGTCACCAAATCTGTACATACTAGATGATCTGATGCCAATAACATTTTATCAGATAATAAACATTTTAATACATTTTGTACATTAGCATCATAATCTAATTTGGAATCAACGATAATACAAATCATTGTTGGATAAAATAGTTCACAAAATTTTGTAAACAATAATGGCTAAAATATATACAAGCTTAAATTTCAATACTACAGTAAAACTTTTCGAAAATGAGCAATTACAATATATTAAGGAAAACCTAGTGACTAAACTCGATTAAGAGTAGAAATGGGACCGTTGAAGTTTGAGCTAAATGAGTTTCTCTATTCTCTGGATTCTATTTCGATCCATATTAAAACCAGAAGTGAAGTTGACTAGCTTAACCGCAAAATAACATGACTTAGTAACACACGAAATATGGAAACTAAATTCCCCTACTCTCTAAAAAAAATCCGTAGCTTACAAAACGAATAGCGGTTTTGGCATTTGCTCCTAATAGAAACCGATATCCGTGTCGTACGATCCTGCGTAACCGTTTCGCAGAATACGCTTCAACGTTTTTTGCCTTGTGAAGAAACGGATTTAGGT